CCGAACAGCAAGAGTCAGTTCTTGGCCAGGTGCGTTGTCGCCAGCTAATCGAGCGCGATCGTGCCGTGGCCAAATAAACAGAGGCCATGCGGGGAAAGACAGCAGACATGAGCGTAGCCAAACAGCCCCGACTTGTACACACTCAAGACTTTCAGTACCCATTCATTTGGTTCCTAGTCTGCGGCGTTCTTGAATTACATTCTGCCTCCCCAAGCAAGGCCCATCTTGTTTGCTTGCGGCACCAAGGTTATTTGCTGCTGGGATGTGACGGTGTATGGGAGCGGTTCACCAATCAGCACATTGTGGATTTCCTACTGAAGAGGCCTGGATAAGTTAAGTTTTGCTTGTGCATCGCTGCTGCTGCTACCTTTAGTATTATTGTTACAGGTCCAGGTAGTGCTCCATGGGGCGGCAAGCCTGTGCAAATAAATCACGTAAGAAAGCAGGCGGTGATGCGGTTGTGATGATGAGTAGGCGGAGGAAGAGGAAGAGGCAGAGGAAGAGGAAGAGGGGAGAGAACGAGGAAGAGGAGGACTATGCTATGCTATGATGATGATGGTCATTATCATCATTGCCACTTACAGCACAGATATTACGAAGTGCCAGTACTCCTACCGGAGTTCATTGCTTTGATGAGTGCCAGGCTGCCAACATCCAGCTGCATCTCGCAGGCTTGTGCGGAATTCTTGGATAGCCACCTGGCAGCAAGATGCGACCATGTGCTCCAAGCAGGACTGAGTTGTGCTGCGCTTGCAGAAATGCAGGTCCATGATGGCATCTGCCACCTCGGACAGAGGGTTTGTGTTTTTGTGTGTTTGCCTGCGTGGGTCCCAACGAAGAACTCTAGATCAAGTGGGCTACTGTGCTGATGTGACACTTCGTCAGCCATCATTAGTCTTTTTCAGGCAATCTCTCGAAGAATCCGATGAGGACGCTTCGCCTGGAGATGTTCTGATCAGTTGAAGGGCTCTGTACAGTGCACAGTCGTGTGATTCTGTTTCAGGCTCTCTCTAGCGGCCCGGGGCACGTGGATAACCTTCAGCGATTTCTTTCTACTCTGGTGAGCATGACCACATCTTCTGCCGCCTGTACCACTGCCCATTGCCCACTACCAAACCCGAAACTAGTTTCTAGCACCCTTCAGGTTTCAACTCCTAAGCGCAGAGTTCAATTCTCCAGGACGAACGGCCTGGGCTGCGACAACATGACTCTCCTTTGTTGGAGTCTTATTGGAGGGGAACCCAGAGACTCCAATATCCCTTAATTAAGGAATATACCTTAAATCATATTATGGATCCCTACTATAATTTAAGGTATATTCCTCAAGTAAGGGATATTGGAGTCTCTGGGAAGGGGAGCCTCCCCAGTTCCTTGAATCTCTTTGGCGGATTCCTCGGGAAGCAGGGTGGTCGGGAAGCCTAATGCCTGTCTTCGAAGACCCCACCAGGCCGGCAAGCCTTCATCCATAGTACCAGTTGTTTCGCAGTCGTTTTCCTTATGGTCATCACCGTCTCTGCGTCTTCCTGCGATTGCTCTGGATGTCATCTGTCTGCTGGCGATGTCTTTGCCGGCGCAGACACAACTGCTCGGCCCCAAACCCTAAACCCTAAACTAAACCCTAAACCCTAAACCCTAAACCCTAAACCCTAAACCCTAAACCCGACGACGTGCGACCTATTGCTAGTCAGGAGCAGAGCACTTCTCCGAGGCTCTCGCCCTGAAGCTGCGAAGCTACGACGAACCCTGAAAAGCCCTAGCACCGTAACACTTTAACGCACCAAAATCCTAAAATGGTAACTCCTTTAATCTTAAACCGTTCCTGTGATACTGAACCCCAAATTCCTGTTTTAATTTTTAAGGCCCCTACATTAGTCTTGAATCCTGAACCCCGACGTGAACCCTGGCACATCTTGGCGCACACCGAGGCATCGACCTCAGCTCTTCGGCAACGCCCAGAACAGGGCCGCTGGTCGCTGAATCCAAGACTCGGAGAGGCCTAAGATGTTGGGTTTAGGGTTTAGGGTTTAGGGCTCAGGGTTTAGGGTTTAGGGATTAGGGTTCAGGGATTAGGGTTCAGGGTTTAGGGTTTAGGGATTAGGGTTCAGGGTTTGGGGTTTAGGGTTTAGGATGCTTAGAGTGCTGAGAGGGTTAAAGCAGGTCAGGGGCTTGGGGCCTGGGGTTTCAGCTGCGGGTAAAGTGCCCTTAGCCCATGCACACCTTTCGGGGCTCCTTGTTATCATTATAGTATAGTATCCCCCCCAAAACCCTATCCTGACCATTACGGCCCCTAAATTCTAGTAGATCCCTTCTAGTAGCCCTTATATAGAGCCCTTAAAAGGGAAGCCTAGTCTACCTATTTAGGCCCTTAAACCCTAAACCCTAGGCCCTATTTATGCATACCCACAAAGGTCCGAGCCGGAAGGCGACGAGATTTCCATTCCGAAGTCCGCGTCTGGAGCTCGGGCTTTCGAAGCCAAGGGTTTAGGGTTTAGGGTTTAGTGTTTAGGGTTTAGGGTTTTGAGGTTTAGGGTTTAGGGTTTAGGGTTTAGGGTTTTGAGGTTTAGGGTTTAGGGTTGAGGGTTTAGGGTTTTGAGGTTTAGGGTTTAGGGTTAAGGGTTTTTGGGATTCGGGGGCATGGACGACTGGAATAGATATCGAATCTAGGAGCTTTAATTATTAGAAATGGGTTTTGGGGCCCATCATACTATAATTATCATAAGGAACCCCCCAAATAGTATTAGTGATTCTTGACGCCCCTATGTTATATATCTTGTCTTGTCTTGTGCGAACCCTAGAGTCTCCAGTAGAACGCGTCCCAAAACTCCATGCTGAATTCAAGCTTAAAGCAGTTTGCCTTCAAGGAGGCCCTCATGTCTGTAACACGAGTGGATTCCTCCCTGGGGCAGAAATCTGCTGACCCAGCCTATGCACAAAAAGGCAAACTGGGGTTGAAGCGGGCCGCAAGCTCCATGAAAAAACACGAAAGCCTGCAACTGCCACGCTTGAAAAGTGACCTGCAAAAGCACAGGCTCGGGAAGGGCAGCAGGAGATGTACCCGGCCGGTCTGTCCGAAAACCCCGTCTCCAAACTGCACCCTGAACTCGAAGGATAAAATCACATGGCCGTTGAGTTCACTCAGTGCTCTCAGAGGAGGAAACAACGAAGATGAGGCAGTTGCTGATCGTGTGGGATGCTCGCCGTGTCCCGTTGCCAGGCTTGGAAGCATCAGCATTCAAGGTGATGGCTTTGCCGACAAGCATGTTCACGAGGAGCTGCATGCCACCATCGTTGAGCATCGACTCCTTCATTGCCAGCCTGACTGCACCACTAACAGCGTTGATACCCTCTGCTCCCGCACCCCACCTGGGTCCCACACACCAGGCTCGGGCGCCAACGCACGGAGTAGGGAGGCAGTGTATTTGGCCAAACTACCCCAAGCACGGTTGGTCAGGTGCAGCAAAAGCCGCTTGCAGCACGAATGGATCGTGGCAGCAAGCCTGCGAGCGTGCCCTTTATGGGTTTCCCGACAGCCGCTGCAATTTCTACGACCTGCCTTACGAAGACGATAACCACCCGCATCTCCGACGACGTGCCTCGTGTCCAAACCCTCAGCCTTCTGAAACTTTGCCTCCAAGTTGTCGAAAGTGCCATGGCCAAAGTCACTCCAGGACGAAAAGAGACACCGACCACGATCCTTCGTATCTGACGATGCCACGTCCAGTGCCCAAGTTCGGTCCCGTCCCGCACAGGCGCATAACCATCAACACGCCGAGCGCCGCAGGAAAACTCTTCAGCTGCAATCTTCGCCAACTTGCGGCGGATGTCCGAGCGCCTTCCGACCAAGCTGGCATTCAGACGAATCTGAAGAAGCTCTCTCAAGGCCCTAAGCGAAACAGCACCGCGGGGAAGTGGCTTGGCCATGACCTCCAGGATGTGCCACGGAAGCGTGTTTTCACTGACGAAGCCTCCGGGTCGTTCCCCTTTCCACGCAGGGCCATTTGCATGGGGAACTGGGGCCTTCAGCGACTCTCTACCTCCTGCTGGTAGGAGTGTCTGGGCCCTTATCTGTATAATTCTCTCTCTCTCTCTCTCTCTCTCTCTCTCTCTCTCTCTCTCTCTCTCTCTGATTCGTTTTTAATGGAAACGTATGTATATAACGATATATATATATATATATATATATATATATACACACATGTATTAATATTTTGTCAATGTGCTTTGTTTTGGTTGGGGGGATTGCTGCAGTCTAGCTGTTTGTTCAAGGGTCGCTTGAAGATTGGGATGTCGGAGGTAAGGTTGCGGGGACGCGGTTTTATGGGCAGTTCCATTTGTTCCTTTCTGTTGGGGGGGGGGTGCGCCAAAGGAGAGACCGGATTGGTTAGGGTATCCGAGAATGCTCCGTCTTCCACCCCAGTTGTGGTATGTAGAGGCCTTTGTGATCCGGCCTTTTTTTGAAGGCAGGGAACGAGTGACTAGGAGCAAGATTAGAAGGGTTCCTTTCAGGGTATTACAAGGGTATTGTGAGGGTAGAAGTTTCGGCGCTACCCTGCTTCTCATATACTTGCAGCTCTAGATCCCACAAGCCTCCAGCACAGCAGCCTACGTCCCGAAACCCGAAACAGGACGCCTGAACGTTAAGCATCCGAGCTTCAACGGCCGGATCCGTCTGTGCAAGACCCCGATCCAAGCCGGAACCCTGAAGCCAAAGCCCCCAATTCCGAGCATCCTAGGTACCAAAACCTTCAAAACAACCCTGACACTGTAGCCACGCCACAACCTTAGTTTCCCAATCCCTAAACCCTAAATCCTAAGCCCCAAGACCCTGAACCCATAACCCCCCACTCCCTAAACCCTAAAAAACCTACAAATCTCCAACGTCCCAAACCCTAAACCTTAAATCCAAGCACCCCAAACCCCAGACCCCTAATCCTCAGCACCAAAACCCGAACGAACCCCCGCCTCCCCTCCCCCCCCTCCCCTTTTTCTCCGAGTCTTAGGCCCAAGGGCGCAGTACGCCCATCCCGGCGAGAGGCGGCGTCCCGGATCTTCCTGTGCCTTGCTTGCGAGGTGGGTATCAAAATTTCAATTTCGATTCTATTCGTGTCTCTGTACGGTTGCTGTTATTGTGGTTGTTGTTGCTGACACTTTTGTTATTGTTGTTATTGTCATAGTTGTAATGTTGCTATGTGTTATTTTGGGTTTTGACTTTTGTTGAGAGTTTAGTGCTTCGTTGTGTTTAGATTTTAAGGCTGTTTGTTTACTTGGATTTAGGTATTAGGGTTTAGGGTTTCTATTGGGTTGAGGTCAAGTTTTAGGGGTTTGGGGTCTGTTGGACTTGGGATAGATTTTTTGGGGTTTCGGGTTTAGGAGCCTTGCGCTGAAGCTCCCGCTTGTCCGGCTGTTGCGGGTTTTGCGTTTGCTATGAAGGTTAGGGTTTAGGGTTTAGTAGGGTTTTAATATTCTGACATTTTTCTGACATTTTAAGGAGCTCGATTTTGTGAGGCGGCTTCGACATTTCACTCCCTTGTAATTACGACCAAACCCAACACCTGGGTCAGCAGTTTATAGTACGGCATATTCTATGTAGAATGCAACTGCGGAGAATTCTGTTTTGGTGCTCCGGCCCAGGTTTTGCAGAAGTACAGCTGGTCGCAAGCGAGCCGTGCTTATGGCCATGAGCAGGACTTTTGTTCGGTGTGGTCCAGCCGTCCATGCAACCATCTTCATGAACTTCAGATGTCTCGTGATGTCATCAGGGTCACTGGATACGAACACCGCGACCTCACTTGCCAGGACCCGTGTCACGCGTCCTCGGCGAAAGGAAAAAATGGGTGACCTTGTAACAGTAGCCAGGAGCCAGCCATCGTCCCTGCTACGCTGGCCGCAACATGCTTGCTTCATAAGGCGGTAGAATCCTCCCGAGCTGTGTTTGAGAGCCGCTCGCGCCCTGCGCCGCTGACGGGCTCAAAAGCTCTAAATCAAGCTCGCCTCAGGATCCGTCCTCCCTCGCCCTGTGGTGGCGATTTCAACGTTCTACGTTACGCTGCTAAGCTCGAGAGAATCGTGTTCGTTTGTTCGGTGCTGGGGCCCTTGTGACGGATCTTTGCCTGCTGCTTCTGCCACTCAGGTCCGTCTCTGATCTGGACAAACCCTAAAGTCCAGCGATTCCATGGAGTCTGTCATCGAACTCGCTTATGAAGGTCTCTACATGCTTCGCATTGAGCTCGCATTTCTCCTTGTCTTCGGCTTCCTCTGGGTTGCCGGTCGTGTTCTTGGCACAGAGAAGCGCTCACAGCCCGGAAACCCTAAGGGCAGTGGTCGCAAGGCTGCGCCAGCACCCCAGCGACGCCCCGGGCTCACCCAACGCCGGCCAGCATCTGGTGACGAGGGCCTGCCGAACTTGTCCGTTACTACCGTGGACCCCAAGAAGTTGCAGAACCCGACTTGGCTCGTGGCGCAGGTCACCCAGCTCTGCCGCTCCCAGGCGGGAGTTGCAGACAACATGGGCTCCTGAGACAGACCTTACCAGAACCTTCATAGAACCTTCACTTTAAAGCATCCTTTATACAAAAGCTATTGCTACAACCCTAGTACTAGGCGGTTAGGATCTCTCATGCCTTGGCACTTCCAAGCCAGACAGAAGCCCTCCCAGGTGCAGAAGGCTCTGGAGCTCTACAAAGCTGCTTTGAAAGCCGGCCTCCAGTTGGAGGCTGGCAGCGGAAGGTTGAAGGGTTTCAGGATTTATTGCAGGGTTTAGGGTTTAGGGTTTTTTTGGGGGCTTAGGGGTTTAGGGGTTCAGGGTCTCAGGGTTCATGGTGCTAAGGTCTGTCTGTCCAAACATGCAAAAAGGGTTCTCAATTGCTGTGCTTTCAAAGTCCCTGTGGCTTCAGGAGATGCTGGCTGAAGAGAGCCAGCAACTCTCCACGAGCCTGGTCACGGCAGCCATCCGTGTGGGGCAAGCTGAGGACGCGCTCTGCGTGATGAAGGACGGGTAGGGTTTGGCTCTAGGCTTCGGTTTGTGCCTTTTGCTTGCAATGAAGGTGGCCATCCCTGTCGCTGCTCTGCTACTTGTGGCGGGTTCTGGTGACTAGTCTCGGGACCAGTAGTAGCATCACGATGATTGCTGGTAGTGACGAGAGAGGTGCTGCCGTCACGACTGCTATCAGCAGGCACCTCAATGTATTGTTTGCCATGACTGCACAGTTGCGGTTGATAAACATACTTGTGAAATACAGTTCTTGACCCCTTTTCCTCCTTTGCTTCTCTCACTATGAGGCTGGTTCTGCTGCAGCTGCAGCTGCGGCTGCTGTTCTTTATCTTTGATGATGATGATGACGACGATAGCAGTGATGACGACGACCGCCATAGTCATGGCGATGATGACGATCACGACCAGCATCAGTGCTGAAGTTCGCGGAATATATTATATGAATGTCAGCAATATCGCCAATGCTCAGTATGACGAGTATTGTAACAAGTTGATTGTTACTACGCCAGGTAGATGTGCCTAACTATGTTATTGAATCCTGCGGCAGAAGCCTTCCGTGAGGTGAAAGCTGCTAGCCCCAAGTCTTCATGAAACGTTTGGGCCTCTGCGACCCGAGCTCTACTTGAAGGATCATGGGACTTAGTAACTAGGGTTATAACTAGGGTAACTATACTTATAACCCCAACGAAGGTACTTATAACCTTACTTACTAAGTCCTATGATCCTCCAAGTACCTTCCCAAGATCCACCTTGCCATAGGACTTGCGCCGTGTCGGCCTCGCTACTGACCCTGCTCTGCTGGCCTCGGCCACAAAGCAGCTCACATTACATTCTTCTTCTTGTTATTGTTATTATTAACTTGTTACTATTATTATTATTATTATTATTATTATTATTATTATTATTATTATATTGCTATTCTTGTATGTCTATTATTTTTAGTACTATTGTTGTTCTTGGTATTGTTATGAGAATTGTTTGAACTAGTATTGAAAGGAGCTTCTGTCTTGGTGAAAGACATGAATGCTCATGTCGTTTGAGAGACTTTCTGAAATGCTGGTCTGAACCGTAGAAAGCAAGTACACGATGCAGAACAGCTCGAAGCTCCGGGACCCTGCTGTCGCTTGGTTTCACTTCGTGAGGCCCCTATTTTGGCCGCTCCATCCCCCCCCCCCGACTCCTCCAACCAAAGCAAGAGCTGCGTACTTGAAGGATCGTGGGACTTAGTAAGGTTATTAGTACCTTGATTGAGGTTATAAGTAGCTATAATTAAGTATAGTTACCCTAATTATAACCCTGGTTACTAAGTCCCATGACCCTTTAAGTAGGGAAGTGGCGACTCCTGCTTCTGCCCAGGCTCTGCACCTCGAAGCAGCGGCTTGCCTTCAGAAGCTGCGCTTAGGGTTTGGGGTTTAGGGCATTTAGGGGTTTAGGGTTTAGGGTTCAGGGGCACTTGGGGGTAAGTGGGTTCAGGGTATTTGGCTTGAGGGTTTAGGGTTGCCAGTTTTTGAAGAATTAATTAGCGGCTTAGGCGATGAGGTTGATGGGGCTTCGGGTGAAGATGCTATTTCGACTCTGGGTTTGCGGGCTGCGAGCCAAGACCGAATGCCACAATCGCCACGCAAAGGCTAAGGCGAACACGAGCCCCCAATGCGAATGCGGAGGATACTGTGTTCTTTGACATCTGCATAGCAAGACTGAAAGGTAATGGCAGCATGGGAGCAACAACGCAGCAAGCCATGGCACTCCCCCTTTATGTTTGCATGCAGTTGATCGAGCCGTTGCCACGTCTCAGAAGTAATCAACGCAATCAGAGAGCCAGCACATGACAACTCAAACACGCCTCAGTGCAGAGGCTCTTTGCCGACTGCCTCATCATCTACGACTTCGCCTGCCAAGACACCAACCTCACCATCCAGGACGATTTGGCGTTTCGGGAGCTTCCCGAAAACTGTGCTAGATCATGTAGTGCAGGATCCGCAAAGCTTGGCAAGATCATCCCGTAAACCCCTACATCAACCTTACTTAAACCATGCCACAGTAGCCTCGCAGTTGGAGGTGTTAAGAGGGTTTTGGTTGAGCTCGAACCCGTTGTCTTGCGAGGGCTTCGCACTTGAAGGTCGACTTCAGCAGATCTTGGCTTGTCAACCGATAAGGACCCTATAGAACCCTTATTAAGCCCTTATAACTTATAAGACCGTCATAGTACCTTTATAGAACCATCATAGGGTTATGGAGCAGATAAGCTACAGCTTCAGCCAGAGAGGTCCCTTGAGCGCCGCCTCGAGGCTTTACAAGTTTAGAATCATATTGCATTCTATCATGTTACATGAGAGCATGATCATACAATATAGCATAGCAGATTAAACTTAGGTCTCATATCGTACTATATCGTGTTATATGATATTATGGTGATACAGGATAGCACAATGTACATTGGAAGGAGTTGCTTTCCGACTTTGATAGGGAGGCATGTGTTCTCCAAGCTAATCGAAGTCACGTGCCGCTGGGCCGCAGTGTTCGAAGATATCAACATGTTCATCACTGCACTACCAGCTAGACTTGATCATGGGATTCAGGATTGCAGGGCCTTGGTTTCCATTGCGTGAGGGCTCTGGGCTTTAGAGTATAGAGCTTCTTGGAACGGGACAACTCAGGGTTTGAGGCTTCAGCTTTTAGGGTCTAGGGCTCTACGGTTTAGACGTTTAGGCTTGTCTAATCTAGCAGGAAGGGGCCCAAAAAAAGCTTTGAGCTACAAAATCCCGAACCTTCAGTCCTTTGCGGGGCACTGCGAGGCGTGAAGTCCTGAACCCCACGGCCGATCTCGCAAAACCACAAGCCCAAAACAAGACCCCAGCTGTGCAGGACAAGAGTGTATGGAGCTGCCTTCTTTTCTGTGCAGTGGAGACGAAAGGCCTGGGACTTGAACCTGAAGCATACATCGGGGTGACACTGTTGCGATTTAGGAAGGTCTAGGATGTGGGATGTAGAGCTCTCTTTAATTTCAGTGTGAAGGCTTGGAGGCTTCAGGAAGGCCGTGTTGAAGTTTACGGGCGTGTTGGTTTGTTGGTTTCGACAAGGCCTAGACTTCCGGGCGCTCGTGGAGTATGCGCTTGGGCTTTGGGGTTAGGGTCGTAATTTCGGAAATGTCGGGCTGCAGGCGTAGGGTCGAGATGCTACCAGTACTTAAAGGATCATGGGACATAGTGACCAATTAAGGTACTTATATAACCATACTTACTAAGTCCCATGATCCTCCAAGTAGTGCACAAATTTACAGTGCACCAAGGCCCTCAGTTCTTGTTTGCCCATCCAAAAACTTTGCCCAGGGTCCAGGATGTATTAGTTTAGGGCTTGCGGTTTTGTTAAGCGTAGCAGGAGCCTTTTGTGCGGAAGGGCAACCAAACCCTTGACCTCCAAGCCCCTTACTACTACAGTACCACGAAGCCTAGATCGAAGAAACCGTAGACCCATCACTTTCCAAAACACTAATATAGAAGCCTGAGTATTGCCGTAGTATAATCGACACCTAAAGCCCCATTCTAGATATCTCCTTCATTACGCCTTTTCCTGTACGTCCCTTTCCCTTGAGCTCCTTAGGCTTTGGCCGCTGTGCCTTCTTCTTCGAAAGGCTGAAGGCTTGTGGCGCGCCCTCCCCGAAGGATTTTGGCCGCCCGGGCAGCAGCATTTTGCGGCTTAGGGCAAAGGGTTTAGGGCCAAAGTTCAGGGTTCGTTTATAGGCGACTGTTTGTCATCGTGGCTATGGTAGATCAAGAGACACAAGTTCATGATGTGTATGTTTACGTGTGTACATGTTTGTGCACATATACACATAAATACGCATACGCATATAGATGTGCCGTGATCGCAAGGGCCTCATCAAAGCACTCCACAGAAGTGCATGTATCCCTTAGCATTCTCAC